GCCATGTGTCTAGGTGTGCACTTTGTGCTTAACTCACTTGGAGTTAATCAAGCTTCTTTTTTGTGTAGATTAAGGTTTTTCATCAAATTGGGAATGTTTTCAGCCATTATTTCTTCAAATATTCTCACTTCCCCTTTCTCTTTCTCCTCTCCTTTTGGAATTTCCATTTTGCATATATTGGTATACTTAATGGTATCCCATAGGTCTCTGAAGCTATGTTTATTTTTACCTATCCTATTTTTTTTCTGTTCATCAGATTGCACAATATAAATAATGTGTCCTCAAAATTCACTAATTCTTTTTTCAGTCAGTTCAAATATGCTTTGGGTTCCTTTAGTACATTTTTCATTTCCATTGTAATTTTCAGTTCCAGAATTTTTGTGGGTTTTTTGTTGTCATTTGATTTTTTTTCCCAAATTTATATTCCCTTATTGAAACTCTCTGTTTGGTAAGACATTGCTCTTAGAGTTTTCTTTCATTCTTTAGACAAACTTTTCTTTATTTTTCTGAACATTTTTTAAATAATCAATTTAAAGATTTTGTCTAGTAAGTCCAATGCTTTGGCATCCTTAAGAACAGTTTCTTTTTGTGTGTAAAGGTTATTTTGTTGTATTCTTTGCATGTCTCATAATTTTTAAACTAAATATTTTGTATAATATAACATGACAACTCTGAAAGTCAGAATTCCCTCCTCCAGGGTTGGCTTGTTTGGTTATTGATTTTCCTTGACTAATTCTCTAAACTCTGTATTCTTGGTCATGTGGGTACATTGAAGTCTCGACCTCAGTAGTGGAGTGGTCAGGTAATGATAGAACAAAGGTTTCCTTAAATTCCTTGAACCAATAAGTCCCCAGTCTTTGCTAAGGTGCTCTGTGCATGTGTTGGGGTATGCCCTTAATGCTCAAGTAGTCAGTTTATAAATCTGTCTTAGCCTTCACTTCCTGCTTATGTAGAGCCTCAAGATCATCTAGGTAAGAACCTCCATATTCTTGTCTTTTTCTCAGTGAAGGGCTACCAATTCTGAAACTACTTTCAGTGTACTATAGGATTAAAAAAATAAGTGCATAATTGAGAGAAATGGGTGCTAGGTTTCTCATTAAGGAAGAAGGGACTTCAAATACAGAAAAAGACTAGAATAAACCTGTGGTACTGGACTGAAATTAGAGGTACAGATAAATATAAACTCAAAGTTTTTAATAGACAGAAAATAAATAAGTATAGGTTTCTAACTCTATCCACTGAGATTACCTAGAAGCAATGACACTACAGTAGCAATGCATATACCTAGTATACAGATCTTGTTTTAAATACAAGTATTCACTATAGAAGTAGGGCTACTTAAAGAAATGGCAAGGAAAAGAACAAAATAAATCTGGAATATCTTATTATGCCAAAAAATAAGGAAATTCTAAAACAATCATAGGAACATGTCAGAATGACACAAGAAGCATCTTGAGGATATTCCAAGGGTTAAATCTGGGATTACTGATGCCTCAAAATAAACAGTGAGCCAGGCTCGGTGACTCAGCCTGTAATCCTGCGCTTTGGGAGGCTGAGGTGAGTGGACTGCCTGAGCCTGTGGGTTCAAGACCCGCCTGGGCAACTTGGCGATATCTCATCCTTACAATAAAGCAAAAAAATTAGCCAGGTGTGTAGCACACGCCTGTAATTCCAGCTACCTGAAAGGCTGAGGCAGAAGGATCGCCAGAGACCAGCAGGTCAAGGCTGCAGTGGCCGGGAGCGGCCACTGCACTCCAGTCTGGGTGACAGAGTGAGACTCCAACTCAAAAAAAAAGTAAAAAACAAAATAAACAGTGAGAGTAACTAATTCTATTTCTTCAAGTAAAATTGGGATTAATGAATCTATAATTGATATAAATATACATGTGTGAAAAAAAGAGAAAATGCTTCTTTATGGTAAAGTGCCAACAAATTTTAAAAAACTTTTTTTGAGTCAAAGTCTTACTCTGTCGTCCAGACCACAGTGCAGTGGAATGCCCATGGCCAACACAGCCTCAATCTGCTATGCTCAGGCTATCCTTCCACTTCAGCCTTCCAAGTAGATGGAACAACAGGCAGGCACCACCACACCCAGCTAATTGTTTTTATTTATTGTAGAGTTGAGATCTCACCATGTTGCCCAGGCTGGTTGTGAACCTGGGTTCAGGCAATCCTCTAGCCTCCACCTCCCAAAGTGCTGAGATTACAGGCATAAGCCACCATACACGGCTAAATAAACATTTTTTAAAGATGGAGTTAGAAAATCACCATTTGAAGTTTATTAAAGCATCATCAATGTATGTTAAAACTAATAGGTGAGAGTTTGAAGGAGAATAGGATATCTGTTTAGTCTTAAAATAACTCCCCAAGAATATTTACTTTATAGGAAATAAAACTAGAAGACACTACCTTAAGTTAACATCATAAATTATGAGATAAGTATCTTGTTCCTCATTATATGATTCATTAAGAAACCACCTATCACCTTTGTAGTACATTTGCCAAAATATGAAACCTTAATCTATTCATAAGAAAACACATACAAACTCATAATTGAGACATATTCTACAAAATAACTAAACTATACTCTTCAAAAATGAAAATGTTACAAAAGATAGACTAAAGAACAGTTCCAAATTAAGTGAATCTAAAAAGACATGGCAACTAAATGTAATATGTAATATCAGAGTGAACTCTGGACCAAAAATCTTTTTTTCTATAAAAAATTTAATTGAGATAATTAGCAGTATTTTTTAAAGAACCATAAATGAGGTAATAATATTGTGTGAATTAAATGCCCTGGTTTTTGCTGGGCTCAGAGGCTCAGCCTGTAATCCCAGCACTTAGAGAGGCCGAGGCGAGAGGATTGCCTGAGCCCATGCATTCAAGACTGGCCTGGGCAACTAGGAGAGATCTCGTCTCTATAACAATTCAAAAAAATTCACCAGGTGTGGTAGCACACACCTATAGTTCTGGCTACTTGGAAGGCTGAGGTGGAAAAATCGCAGGAGCCCAGCAGGTCGACCCTGAGGTGGCCATGAACATGTCACTGCACTCCAGCCTGGGCAACAGAGTGAGACTTTGACTCAAAAAAAAAAAAAAATGCCCTGAGTTTGATAACTGCACTGTGGTTATAAAAGAAAATGTCTTGTTCTTAGGACACTTAAAGTGAAGTATTTAGAGATAAAGAGGCATCATATTCAGAATGTACTCTCAGATGGTTTAATCAAAATAATAACATAAATATATGAAGAGAAAAAATGATAAAGCAGATGTGTTGAAATGTTAACAACTGTAGGATCTGATTAAAGGGCATATAAGAATTATCATCATTATTATTATTATTATGGCAAGTTTTTCATAAATCTGAAACTATTTCAAAATTAAAAATTATTTTTTTAAAAAGAAACATCTAACTGGGAACAAAGGATAAATTAGATCTAATATATTCGTATAGTCAAATCTGGAAAATATAATGCTAAATGAAAAATAAGTAGCATACATACATGACAATACTTAAAATTTTAAAATCATAAAACGATATACTATTTATGTGTGAATATGTAACAAAGGTTAATGTTTAATGTGACAAAAGGAGAACGATGGAGAGAGGGGAGTGGAGTAAAAATTGTAAGAATGCATTTCTTTTAAAATATAGCTAATTCAAATATGACAAAATTTTAACATGTGCTAATGCCTGGGTAATTAGTATATAGGTATCCATTATTATTTTTGCACTATGTGTTTGATATATAAATTACAAGTAACATATTTTAAGAAAAAGGTGCTTAACGATTCAAAGCATCTAAAACCTCCAAAACTTTCCAAGATACCTAATGTCACATGCCAAATGAATTTTGAAGGTGCAGCAAATAACCTAAAATATATTAGTAATGAAAGTCAAGCCAAAAACTGAGAATGCCTGTTCTTTGCCCAAGATGTCTCTTCACCATTTCCTTATATCAATGCTTAATTTTTGCCATTTTCCTCACTAGGATTACTTCTTCCAGATCTCATAAAAGTATAAGAGATAATGGACTCAAAGTACTCACCTTATAATTGAGTAAAACCAGACATACCACTTATATTCATTATCTGCATTCATGGATTACTCATACATTTCAACTGCCTGAATAAAATCTTTTTTTCTTCATTTTTAAAATTTCAATAGCTTTAGGAATTACAAATGATTTTTTATTACATGGATGCATTGCATAGTTGCGAGGAAGTCTGGGTTTCAAGTGTACCTTCCACTCTCACTGTGTACATTGTACCCAATAGGTAATTTTTCATCCCTACCACCTTCTCGTCCTCCCCCCTTCTGAGTCTTCAATGTCTACTATGCCACTGAATGAAATCTTGACTTAACCAGGTTTGAAATTTAAACTCTGGGTGAGATGGACTGGCTATATTACATTTGGTATTTTAATCAGAGAGAAGTTCCTTATCTTTTTTTTTTTTTTTTACAATTATTTGTAGAATAAATGATGCTTACACTCTCGGATTCAAATTCTTCTAAAATACAATGTTATTTTTCCTTTCAAATTCAGGAAAAGCATGTCTATGCATTATATGATTGTACATTGTGACATAGACCTAGTAATTCACACCCATTTCTTCTTCCTAGATATGCAGATAGACTATATTTCCCAGTTTTCTTGGCAGTTAAGTAGGCTACACGACTGAGCTTTAGCTCCAGGCCCAGCCTACAAAAACTACCCATTCATAATCTTCCATTCTCTTCTGATAGATGAATACAGATGACAACTACCTAGGAAATGATAAAAACATAAATGGAATAATTCTGTGTCCCTATATCTCTACACAGAGAAAAGTCACTTGTCAACAAGAAATGCCCACATGAATGAGAGAAAAAATTATACTGTATTAAGCTACTGAAGTGTAAGGGTCTATTTGTTACCACAGTTAATGTTATATTAACTAACAAGTATAATCATAAATAGTCTTCTAATTGTTAATATAAAATGCACTATACTTACAAATTGAGGCTTGTAATATGCTGGACCTAGTGTACTGTCACTAGCAGGTGGAAGACATTTTATAATACTGTCATCCTCATTAATATGATAACCATATGACTTTTCACAAGAAGGAATTGAAGGAACATCAACACTTCTGGTAACTGTAGGTACTCTTGAAATTTTCTGTAAGTAAAACATTTTATAATTGAATCAATAGTTCACGCAGAAGGCCTGTTTCCTAGGCTACACTCAGGGGACTTGTTCATTACCCTCTGTCTATGTTACTCAAAGGTAAAAGGAAAGAAATGAAGAACCAAATATTAAAATTTACTAAAAGGCAACTATTAAATATTTACAATGATTTTCATAATATAAACAAATAAGGCTTGTTTTATAAAGATAACTTAAAGGAGTGAATTCAAATCTCACCTCACCTTATAAAATATGGTATTACTATTAAAGCTACCATAAGAAGCAAGGATTCGCTCATATGGGTCAATTATTTACCTTGATTAGTAAAGCCGTTAGTACTGATTCTAAAAACAAGCATTCCAGTAGTCATCAACAATCATGCTATTATAGGACCTGCCATGCAAAATATAAAGTTGGTCTGCTATGCTTCTAACAGTCAGTTGATGATTTCAATGCACAATTTGATGAATTTTTGCAACGTCAGTTCTGCTCATTACTGCCCACCCTGACCTCTTCATATTTTTCAGTTAACATTTCCTGGCTTCATTCCTTTCCAGCTCCTGACTTGTTTCCACATTACCTGTGTCTTGTATTGATATCTCAAGTATGCTGTCTATGAAGTCTGACAATTAAGTTCACAAACTCATCTGAGAGACAGTGATACCTCATTGCTGAATATCACTACAGTCACCTTCAAAGCATCCCACTTGGTAAGCTATGCACTGAAACCAGCACCTAGTCCACCCAATAAAGAAATTTTGGAACTCTTCTTCTAAAATTGCCATCAGAACTGTCATCAAAATAATGTCAGAGTTTGAATCAGAGCAACAAACATTCAATTTATTGTTAAATTTGGCAACAGTGAAAGTAAAATCAGGGACATATTAGTCCAAGTTTATGGGAATAATTCCATGAAAGACACAGCAGTGTTCAAATGGATTAAACGTTTTTCTGATGGAAGAGAGCATCACTGATGAAGAGTGGTCAGGACAACCATAAATAGCAGAAAATTGCAAAAATTAATCGAATTGTACAGCAAAATCATTGGCTGACTATGAGAAGCATAGCAGACCAAATAAACATCAGTAGAGAAACAGGAAAATTTTAACTGAAAATCTTGGCATGAGAAAAGTGTGTGCAAAAATGATCCCAAAGGAGCTCTTGCATCACGACAATGCACCAGCTCACACAGCACTGTCTGTGAGAGTTTTTAGTCAGTAAACAAATAACTGTATTGGAACACCCTCCCTACTCACCTGATCAGGCCCACAATGACTTTTTTATTTACCCAAAGATAAAGGAAATATTGAAAGGAAGATATTTTGATGACATTCAGGACATCAAAGGTAATAAGACAACAGCTCTGATGGCCATTCCAGAAAAAGAGTTCCAAAATTTATTTGACTGGAGAACTAAGCACTGGCATCAGTGCTTAGCTTCCCAAAGAAAGTACTTCAAAGGTGACCACAGTGATATTCAGCAATGAGGTGTGTAGCACTTTTTCTAGGATGAGTTTGTGAACTTAATTGTCAGACCTCATATATAGCAAAAAAAGTTTATAATATAATGCTAGTTGAAAGTGCCAAAATATAAAATGAATTATTAATATAGTTATGGAAGTTATGTGAAACTACTATATAAATGTATAAAATTATATAATTTAATACTAAAAAAGCTAAGCAAAAATTAACAGAATATTAATGTTAGAGTAAGAAACTTTAGAGTAATTATCCTTGTTTTAATTTGCTTTAATGTGAAATATTTTATAGTTTAAATAAAAAAGGAGCAACATATATTAGAAATATTAATCCTAGCCAGAGCAATCAGGCAAAAAAAAAAAAAAGAAATCAGGGTTATCCAAATAGGAAATGAGGAAGTTAAGTTATCCCTTTTTGCAGATGATATGATTCTATACCTAAAAAATCTTAGAGAATCTGCCAACAACCTCCTTGTATCAATAAACAACTTTGGTAAAGTCACAGTATATAAAATCAATCCATAAAAAAACAGTTGCATTTCTGTTCACCAAAAACAAGCAGTAAAAGAACCAAATCAAAACCATATCTCAGAATCCAGCTAACCAAAGAGGTGAAAGACTTTACAATAAGAACTACAAAACACTGCTCAAAGAAATCAAGGATGATACAAGCAAATGGAAGATCATCCCCTGCTCATGGACCGGAAGTATCAATGTCATCAAGATATCCATTCTACCCAAGACAATCTACAGATTCAACACAATCCCTATCAAACTACCTGCATCATTTTCCAAGGACCTAGAAAAGATAATACAGAAATTCATAAGGAAGCAAAAAAGAGCCCGAGTAGCTAAGCCAATCTTCAGCAAAAAGAACAAAGCTGGAGGCATCACACTTCCAGATTTCAAACTTTACTACAAGGCTACAGCAACCAAGACAGCATGGTACTGCTACAAAAACAGACACGTATTACAACAGAACAGGACAGAGAATCCAGAAATGAAACCACAAACCTCAACCAACTCATCTTTGACAAAGTCAATGAAAACAAACACTGTGGAAAGAAAACCATATTTAGCAAATGGTACTAGGGAAACTGGCTAACCACATGCAGAAAAATGACCTGACCTATCACCATATACAAAAATTAACTCAAAATGGATCAAGGACTTAAATATGAAACATCAAACTGTGAGAATCTTAGAAGAAAACTTAGGGAGCAGCCTCCTAGACATCAGAGGAGGAAATGAATTCATGGCCAAGTTCTCAAAAGCAAATGCATCAAAAGCTAAAATTGACAGGTGGAACCTTATCAAGTTAAAAAGTTTTTGCACAACAGAAGAAGTCATCAAGAAAATAAAGAGACAATCTACAAAATAAGAAAAATTATTTGCAAACTATGCATCGGACACAGGCCCAACATCCAGGATCTACAAGGAACTCAAATGAATTCACAGAAAAAAAATAATAATAATCGCACTAAAAAGTAAACAAAGAACATGAACAGATATTCCTCAAAGGGAAACATTCAGTAGTCAAGCATATGAAAAAAAAAAAACTGACCCTCACTAAGCATCGGAGAAATGCAAATCAAAACTACAATGAGATACCACTTCACACCAGTCAGGATGGCGATCATTAAAAAGTGAAAAAACAACAGGTGTTGGTGATACTTCAGAGAAAAGGGAACACTTCTACACTGTCAGTGGGAATGTAAGCTAGTTCAATCCTTGTGGAAAGCAGTGTGGCATTTTCTCAGAGAACTAAAAATTGAGCTACTATACAATCCAGCAATCCCACTTCTGGGAGTATAAACAGAGGAACATAAATTATGGCTCTACCAAAGACACCTGCACATATGTGTTCACTGCATCACTATTCACAATAACAAAAACATGAAACAAACCCAGATGCCCATCAAAAGTACACTGCGGGTAAGATGGCAAGGGCATAGGTGGAATTGTGAGATTCTCCAAACGTGAGTTCCCAAAAAGACTCTTACTTTTCTTCCCCCACCCTCCTGCCCACCGCCAGCCACACTGGTCCGAGGACTGGGAACCCTTGGTTCCACGCAGGGCCAGATATTGCAGCCCTCGGCTGCTGCTGCTCCACTATATGTGACTCCCACCCACATGGGAATCTCGGGTCTCAGTTCCCTCCCTGGCTACATCGTCTCACCCAGCACCCAGTACCAACCCGCTGGTCACCCAGGGAGGCTCTGGGTGCCCACCCCTCAGAGATACCGGCTCCATTTCTGGTTGAAGTATCCTGTGAGGGGCCCAGGGTCACTCTCGCCACTCACCGCCTGCCCTTTGAAGCTTTGGAGCCCTGGAGCTCTGGGCCCACCCTGGCTGAGGCACCCAGCGTGCGACCCCATGCTTGTATAAGGGAACAGCATATCTTAAAGAGGTGCTGATTGGAGGCTCTCAGCTCCAAAGGAAGGAACTCCGGACCCCCTCCTCCACCCCAGCCTGCAGGTGGCACCCCAGATCCATGCCCAGCTATGTAGCTGATCCCCAGTGCCTCCCACGCCACCATGGCCTATCATAGTGGATCGCCCAGGGACCAAGACTAGCGAAAGAAAGGATCCGTGAAAGAGTAGCTGCCACCTCGGCCATTCTCCAGGCAGAGATTTGCATTGCACTGCCCACCTATGAGCAGCCTTCACCTCGGTTCCTAAGGTAACATCATTAAACAGGAGACAAAGCTCCTCCCCTAAACTGAATCAGACAAAGGCAACTAAGCGTCACAGACCTCCCAGGCAGCAGGCTAAAAGAACAAACCCAAGATGTGAGTAAATCTAGCTGCCTGCAACAAAAGCAAAGGGGAGAGACTGTAGATCACAGCTGAAGAGATTTTAGACACTCAGGAAAGATTCCAGCTCTAGTCTGATTTTCTTATTTTGACTTTTGATTTTATCATTTTGACTGGTTTTTTTTTTTGCTCACTTTTGTTTGCTTTTTGACTTACAGTATCTGTTTGTGTTAGGGAAAAACGCATCAAAAGGCATGATTTTATTGGTCTGTTTTTGTGCAGTTACCAGTATTTTTTAGGAAATTTTGCTTGCGTGTTTTTTTCACTTCTTTCTGGTCTTGTGTCTCTTTTTCACCTGTTAGTTGGTATGTATACCTGTTTTCCCTCTCACTCTCCTCTCTTTCTAATTTCCTATTGACACCCCCTTCCTTCATTATTTTCCTCTTTTGCACCTCCTTTTGCTCCAGAGACCAAACATACATACCGCTGCACAGAGAGATTGTAAGGCCCTGGGAAATAGGTTCCTGTGTGCTTATATGCCTGTTGGTGGATGCTGGAATCAGCATACAGATTCTGAATCACAGCTTCCCCCTCAATTAAACCTCAAAACTAGAAAAAAGTACTGCCTGCAGCCCACACTCCAACCTCAAAAGTGAACAAAGCCAGAGGACCCTCATAAAGCAGAATAGGAGATTGCACAAGCAAAGCAAAAGCAAACCCACCTTCCCTGAAAAACAGAATCAAAGAAGGGGAGGGAAA